TTTAAATTTTAACACAGGCGCCTATGGAGTCTAAATAACAGCTCGCGCAGAGTACTCCAACGGCTCCGTAAGCTTTGCATGCTAAATTTACATGGCTGCAGAATAGTTCGTTTTTAGATAAGCTGCACTCGCTTGGTATCAAAAAATTGCTTAGAATTTTATCTTTCTTCCAATATCCTTTCTGATGAATCTAGAACAATTAAAATCTACCAGAACAATTTTAAAGCTGCATGATTTGGAAGCTGCACACGTTGTGCATCATGCCACTGCCACCGAGGGTGGTTGCTGAATCGCAGATGTCAACGGTAGGCATTACGATATCTCAGCCTTCTACCGTCAATTCTACCGTCAAACGGTCCGGTAAGGGTACGCCGTGATGACGTAGAAGAGCCTATCGTATATCGTACCGTCTATCGTAGGCCCATTTTGTGTTGCGATAAGAATCTAATAAATTTGGTTTCCCGCTTCGCTACGGTATTTTAGTGCAAGCCAACAGCGGTGCACTTTCCTAGTTTTAAGTAGAGGCTCCGCATATCACCTTTTACCACCGATGGCTCCTAATACCACCGTTCATACCACCTTTGGCTCCTAGTACCACATTCTGCACACCACTTTTGACTCCGCATACCACCATTTATTTAACATTTGCTTGTGTCTATCCATTTTCATTAAATTTTTTAATATCTGGAATAATTGAATGGTTAGCGTTCGCAGCTACATCCATATCCACGCTGCGTTTCGTGGATATGCAATCATAGTCCGGGTTGACAATTCTTTTGGCCTGTCGTCCGGCGCGTCTTTTTGGTGGCATGTCTTTTTTTTTCGTCCGGCGCGTCTTTTTTCTCAAAGCAGTCTTTTTCGAAGGCATTTGCCGGTATATGATGTGTCTGCCGGGCTTTTTTTGTGGAAAAGGTCATATGCAAATGCCGCAGCAAATAATTTAGCTTATCACTTTTATTAAAAGTTCCAAAAAAGTTAATTGTGGTATGTGGAGCCAAACGTGGTGTGCAAAAGGTGGTATTATAATAATGGAGTTTATTGTCCTTGCACGGAGCATTTGCCCCCTCTAGGCTTTAGACAGTGACACAGTGGATAGTAAACATGACGAAACTGTTCCGAACAACATAAAGTAGTCATAACGTAGAAACATCGTTAACTGATAACATCAGAACATGAAGGTCAGTACGCAACAAACAATAGAGCGAGACTCTCGTTAACAGATAACAGCCCAAGAAAAGAAGGAAAGAAAGTGGTTACTTTCGTTTCGGTTGCGGTAAGTGAATGTTACTGTGGAAAAACAAAAAAGGGAGGGAGGCGATCGCGCTGGGGTCGATGCATAAAACCAAAACCCACGTACATTAATTTTAAAGTTTTCAAAAGATTTCCGGAAATTTTCAAAATAAAATCGTGGGAAAAAGGAAAGCAAGGACACTTACGCACGTAATCGCCAAAGGTGTTGTCACTGTTGAACCAAAGGTGTTGTCACTGTTGTGAAAGGTGGTACTAGGAGCAGAAAATGGTATAAATGTATTGAGCGACAGGTTGTTTTCGAGGTATGCAGAATGAAAGAAATTACAAAATATACTTCGTGCAGCAATAAATAGATTTTGAGAAATACTTCAATTGTAAAACCCCAGCAAAGCCATCAGTGAAAATATTTCAAACGTGTAGAAATGCGGACAACTTTCAAGCTTTCCGGTTGAATTCGATTAGTTTTATAAAAACTGTGAAAACTTTCGTAATTTTTCTTATTGTTTGTCTTTTTCACGTTTTTAATGTGACTTGATATCGACAAGCTAGCCAACTCAAACTTGAATTTTTGGTACGACAGAATAAACAGATAGCATTTAAGCGGTGACAAAACAGATGGAGTGGGATCATTTAGACGATGCCCATAAAAAACCATGGAGCCGATATTTCAGCGCAGAATTAAGGAAAATGACCCGGCACATGCGTCAAAAATGAGATACATACACTAAAACTTTCGCTTTCGCGCACTCCGAATACCTTTTTTGTAACACTTCATGTCATTCTAAAGCTAAATGATTTGTGTACACTCTTCTGAAAACCGTCTGCGTGCGTAACATCCGGTTGCCGCGCAGGGGGTCGAGTCGAAATATTTAGAAAAGACGCGGTCGACGAGCTTGATGATAGATGAGTCCGTGAACTCTGCCTTTCCGTTAACCGGTTCCTTCGTCGCTGGTTAAAATGGTTCGCTGGCTCGGTGACCGCCGAATGTAGATAATTAATTCTCCCAATTCCGCTACCGCGGCGTCCAGCCACTGTAGTGTGAGGCCAAGCTGGTGTGCCTTCTGGGCAACCTCCACCCGAGCATTCTGGCAACCAGCTTCCCGATTCGTTGTGTGGATTTTTAGGATGTACGTATATTGCAAGGAGTATATATACTTCGTTGACGCAAACAAACCATACGACTGGACTATGGTTCAGTCGTACGATATGTTCGCGTCAACGGTTTCTTTCGTGTACCGCTCCACGCTTCTTATAACCTGGTTCATAAACGCACTTCGCGAATTTCTAGCGATTTCTCCACCCGAACCATATTTTTCTCTGTTATCTGATTTTTCCTAGATTTCCAGCTCTTTTCCCATGCGAATTAGGAACTCATCCGTGACTCGTGCGTTGCGGTTTTGCAAGCGTCTGTGACAAACTTTTACAATGCTGCGAAATGGTTACCACCTGCTTGTCGGTATAATTCTTGTTACTAACAATAATAATGCCGATAATCAGGTAATATTATTAGGAATACCCTCCGGGATAACAGTGATATTCCCAGTGTGATACTCATGGTAACTAGTAATCAGATGGACGGTAAAGGATGAACGGTAACCGAGGATTCGTGAAGTTGGAATTAGTCTAAGTTAACCTGAACGCAACAACTGTGTTAATTCAATTAAATTAAATTAAACAATTTAAAGCGAAAAGCACTTTAAAGCAGTAAAGTAAAGTCGAGTAGAGTGCCCGCGTTTAACTGCGTAAATGACGAGATGCGGGAGGTGTAAATCCCTGGTTTACCGGCGCTAATCTGTGTTATGCTGGAATCAGGGGAATTAGACCGGCATAATAATAAGACACAGTGCGTTTAATTTGTAGCTCTTACTCCCGTGACGGATCGATCACATGAATCGGCATAATTCGCATCCAGGATCGATCAGTAAAGGTTGCATACAATGCGAGCAAGAAAGGAAGCTACGGGTTTAGGGTATGCGTTTAGAGAAGACAGCGAAAACCGGTTTGTACAGCTCGTACGCGCACAGACAGCCACACTCATACGTGTGTAAGTGAATGCGAGCGGATTAACCCACTCACACGCACATGTGCCGATCGATCGATACAGCGAGGCAGCATTCCGCTTGCGCTTTCTGGCAGCACTGAAATCCTCTGTCTTCGGTCTATTTATAGTCACAACAGAGAGACTGCATTGATCAATCAGCCTCAGCGGGCAAAAAAGGCTGTTCGCAGGCTTTTTAACATACACCGTAGCCTCCTCATTTAGTCAGATTGTATGTATGCTGATATGCTCGTGTAACGAGAAACAGACTGCTTAATTCGCAAAAAAAGTTATTTAGGATTTTATAACACTATCAAAAATTTCGAAATTTGAACTCGAATTAGGAGACATTTATTTATTTTCCAAAAAATAAGAACGTAGGGATATGTTGATATCGAATAACAAGGTGATAGAGTGAAGACATTGCCGGTTGCGCAACCGCGGCTGCAGGTTAAACATATACCTGAAATACCGATGACGATGGCGCAGGAGAACAAACACTCCGCTTTCACGACGGCGCCGCTGCTGGGGCACGATTGGGCGTGAAGCTCAAGCATTCTGTCCGTCTTTCAATTGTTTTCATGGCAGTTTGTATTTGCATCCGGAGACTGTGATCTGCAAATTACAGATTATTTATGTAAACTGTCGTCGATCAACCGTGAAGATAACTGATACTTGCATCACATGCTAAAAAGTTTTAAGGGTTTGTACAGATTACGCTCCACTACTGTACATACAGATATGTTGTGATCTTTTCCCCACTTCCACCGTCGCTACCGTAGGCACAGTAGCTTTCCTGGTTTGAGCTGATAAGTTTGGACAAATAGCTATTGCAGCTTATAAGCCTTTTGCCAAATTTTGTACAACTAAACTGCTTGAAACTGCAAAAAGCTGTAATTTCCGGCGGTAGGGCAAAAAGCTGTAATTTCCGGAGGTAGCTTATAAGTCGATAGTTACGGTACACTGCACAACCGGTATTCGATAGAACCAGATTTATAAATTGAAAATCTTATTTATTAGAGCTCTGAAAGTGTGCTGTTACTACACTTATCACACGTTGAAAATGATACGAGAACTAGGGTAGAAATTAGAACAGCAAATGCATGTAGAATGTTCGCGGCAAGTGCAACATAGCGAAAATTGCTTGAATTCATGCACGGAGCACAGTGCGTATATTGGACTTGCATTTTTCCGTATACCACACTCTGTGGTGCAAATCTATCGGGCGGATACAGTACTGCAGTCTCAAGGCATTTTGCGCTTCCGTTTGTTTACCTTGTTTACCTTCCCGATATTTCAAAATTATTTATCCCACACCATTAAATGGAGCCAATGGGTGTTTATATGGGCGAGAGGGTGCTGTTAACTCTTCTAAGGGCTGCTTAATTAAATCACGGGCGGCTTAAATTTCCGGGGAGAGCTTCTAAATCAATTGTTTCGGTATGCTGGCAGTCGGTATATGCGGATTTCGCAACGTATTTAACGTCGACGAGGTACTAAGCATAAAACAATTACATAAAGCGATACGGCCTTTGATAACTGACCAACGGAAGGATGTAATGAATAAGGTATGCAACGTCCGTTCCGCGGCCAATAGAGGCTGCTGCTGGCTGTATCGTTGAGGCTGGGTGCCGCAAACATTCCGTTATCCATGGTATCGTTGACCCAAATGATATCACTCTGTGACATGCGTTTTTCGGATGTTATGGATGGGTGGAGCCTGTTCCGCCAGTCTGCAACGAACGCCAGTACAGCAAACCGGGCACAGATAACAACAGTCGATCGTGTGGAGCTGGCCCGTGTAAGTACGTAGTACTAATACTAAAGTAGGTTCCTGTATCTGATGCGCCTGTATGTTTTTTATATTCGTAAACCAACAGTGAAAGAGATCAGCTATAAATTTGTAGATGATCCTATACGTGTATTTTGACATTGGAAATATTCAGACGTAGATCCATAAAATCATGGAAAATGTATGAAAATTCATGAACAAAGCAAGGGAACAGCTGGTACGGTGCGAAAGCAAGGCTAGTCCCCAAGTTTAACAAAACGTCTGCCGGTCGGCCGTAATTAACATCACAGCTCCACATAAATCGGTGTGAAGCATTCATGCTATATAGTTCATGCCGATTTATTGGAGCAAGTGCAAAACATTTGCTTAATATCCAGCTCATTTTCCGATTTTCGTCTGTGTGCTGCTTCTCTGGGAACATTTACTGATTTTCTGTCACCGGTAAATATATGAAATTCCAACATTTACGTTTTGATAACAATTTTTCTGTCGGCGTAAATGGATATTTCGATTAATTTACCTGTCGGTAGCTCGTCGGATACTGATAGAACACATTGTGGCATAAAGTACCAAACTAAAGCAAAAAATATCAATCCGCGAAACATTTTGAGCAGACGGAAGGAAGTCTAAGTGTGAATTGCGAGTGTGCGTACTGTCTTTAATAAAATGGGCTTGAAAAGGCGTAATCGATTATGCTACCTTAAACTCTTAAGCCGTCTTTGATTGTCGATAGGCGATAGCTACCGATCTGCGATGCGATATTTTATCTTGACGCAATAATCTCCTTTGCATAAGCTCAGAGACTGCATGTGGCGCGGGACAATATCGGTGTTGGTGCTGCTGTATACCGGTAATTTGTAAATGACGGTTGTACCACATGCCGTACGTAGTGGATTACAGAACATTAATTTTTATTATACTTAGCGGAGGTGCAAATATTCAGTTTTACCATACCGGCATAATATGTATGTCTCCATAGCTTGATATGCGTAGCTTTACCTATCGAAGTACAGATACATACTTAGGTACTTAGAAGTTACAATAAATCTGGAAACTTTCCATATCAATAATACTTTATAGCAATGCTTTGTATCCGCATACACTGACCGATGGCATTGAATGAAATCTGAAGGATATACATGTCTTAAATTGTGGGAGCGGTTCTAAGCGAAAGATAGCTTTTTACCTATTTCCCGTTCCCAGCAAGTAATTTTGGAGATTTCGTTTACATTCGATGGCATTACACCGAAACAGCAGTAAATTTCTGCGCAGTAGTTTTAATATGTCTGTTTTGGGCCTGGTAGAGACGTACACCGGTATTGGAATTGCAGAGCTGGGCATTTGCACCTACACGTAAAACAATTACAGTAAGTTAACGAAGTCTGACTCGCGATAACCTGAAGCGGCATCGTAACGAGCCGCCTAACGCTTATTGAATGATCCACTGTATACTGGAGTTTCCACAAAACAACTGGCCAACCTAAAATTACTCTGAAACACTGATGATTTTAGCCAAAGATTGCTGCTCCCAGACTGATCGTAAACCTCAGGGTATAAATAGACAAGCACGACGCTTTAAGCGCCGCGAGAGTTACAGTACAGCATTTCTTAAAAACACAAGACATCCAGACAATCGAGACACATTCAGTATTGCAATTTCAACTGAGCGCTATACGATTTTTGTGACATAATTTTTTAAAAATTTCCTTATTTATTTACTTGCATAGAAATCAGAATGGAGACGATAATTAGTGTTATCCTACTGCTTCTGTCCGTAGCCGGATTAAACGGTAGTCCACCGAAAAAAGAATGCCTGGTTCAAGGACCAATAACGCTGCCCGATGGAAAGAATATTACCGGATCGAGGAATGTGGGCGGATGCACATGCAAGGAAGTGTTTGACCAAGAGTTTAATCCTAACGGTAAATATTTCCTCTTTGTTAGACTCAATATGTCACCATGAAATTTTTGCAAGGGATTTTTAAGTACTTCGTCGTGTCGCTATAATTCAAATTATAAAGCATCAGTAATTACATTCTACATTTAAAAAAAAACATTTATAGCAGTAATAATGCATGGCGACGGAAAATAATTTAATAATTTCGACGTTTATTACCTGCATGGTATGCATATACGTAATAATCCTAAGTTTCTGGTTTTATTTTGTTCTTGTGCCTTTGTTTCTTTTTGCGATGAAAGTTTTCATTTAATGGCAGTGATACAGTTATGTGAGATACTATGATATTAATAGTGCAAGACGATGTGGGCGTCACGTGTAACAAGGACGGCTCCTGGAGTCTGAAGCAAGATCGTTGGCAGTTCGCCTACTGCGTGGACAAGCAGGGCAACCAGGTCAGCGAGGTGGTCGTTCAGGAGCACTGGAGTCTCCAGTGCGATCCGGTTCCGCGTATGCCGGCAACAGTACCGCCCCTGCGTCCCCGGAAGCCGACTTCCCGCCGTCCATCCGCTGGCGCGGCCTCGCATAGCTGAAAGCCGTGCAGAAACAGAAACATTAACCCAATTCATGCATATGCTTTCTGCTATCAATGTTGATTCAATAGCATCAGTCGTTGTGGCTTCTCTTATCACCGAGAGTCCGAGACCAGAATTAATGGGAAAGCAGAATAATCATATGAAGTTTTAAAGCAATCCGTTATTCTTGCGTTGAGTGTTTGGTAAGCTCTTTTGCTAGATACTTGTGTTAGCCCATACAGTATACTTGTGTTATACGATTAAATGATAGAAGATAATTCCAAGGGGTGGTCACCGGCGCTCGTTTTGAACTGGTTGTCTGCATGTCACAGCATGTGCCTAATGTTTTGTCTTTGATTGTTGAATTCGGGCGACTGTATTACTTTAGTGCTCAAGTTCTCTTTAATATTCGTATTTTACTAATTTTATCCAGTTCATCCTGGGAACAATATCTAAAATTTTTATTTAATGTAAAAAAATAGTTCTATCGGCGCTAAATCAGATACTAGTACTCGTAATACGACTGACATAGTAGAAAAACATATGGGCATTCGATGGCGAATAATATTTTTGAAAATTATATATATTTTTTGTTTTAGTGTCAAGGTCAACAAAGTCATTTAAGAGACATAATTATTACCCTACATTATGTACAATCAATCGCTGATGCCGTTTTGCCAGATCGTGCATAATTGGCTTTCAAACTTGAATAAGTCGCAATTGTTTGTGACAGCAATTTTGGACTTCCCATTTTACTGTGATTCACGATGTTACGCAATCTTCTGTATACCGTAGTACTGTATACCGTAGTACGGTCGTTAATAAATCATTAGCGTGCAGTAAATGCAGCCGTTCTGCCGCATTCAGTTTGTTAAAGAAACATTAACAGTATTCAGGATGAAATTTCGTAGCGCTGTCACCAACTCCACCGCCCAAACAGAAAAAATTTATTGTTATTGAGTAAACATTCGGCATCCATAATCAAAATAAGCAACCAAATTAGGACTCATCCAAATTTTTAAACACACTGATCAGCAATGTTATTGCATTAAATATTGTTTAGGATATCTTCTGAAGTTGCCGCAGACGGCATCAAATTAGATCGGTCTACGGAGTGGTTCATGAACGGCGTGCAACTTAATCGCATTTCAGCTCCCCAGGACGCTCGATTTGCTTTTCGGTAATCTGGTTACCGTTCTTATCCACGCAATACGCCGATCGCCACTGCATCTGTCGCGGTCGCCATGTCCCGTCGTCATTGCACTGCGGGAACGCTTTGTCCGCAACTGTACAGTGCACATAAATATTACGTATCAGAACGACTATCAAAACTACATTAAAAGAAAGTATTTATAGTACTTAACATACTTAATTAGTTGCTTATAGTACTTATAGTACTTAATTATAAATACTTCTGGTACTTATAGTAAGTACTTAATTAGCTGCTCTCGGCATGTTCCCATATATATTGGTTGTACCGGTTATTGAATGAAAATATAATTAATATCACGTGCGTAAGAAGCTGCTACGAAGCACATGTGTATTTTGCAGTGCGTGATCAAAAGCGTACTTCGTGGGTCAAACTCCTCCTTGTAAGCCTCCTTGCACGTGCAGCCGCCCACATTGCGCGTTCCCTGGATTGCCTTCCCATTGGGTAAAGTCATAGGTCCGAACACCAGGCATTTCTTCTGCGTTGGGGAAGCGCACAACGCTACTCCCGCCATCAATAAAAGCACTCCTAGGATTGCGGTGTGCATGTCGGAAATGGTTGGCACGCTTTAATTTAGCACTTGCACGATTCGACGGAAATTTGTTGAATGTGAAAAATGTAATATTTGACACAAACCAAATCAAAGGCCCGGTATTTTATACCGTAAATTGAAATTTATTACAACACACTGTTTGAATTCCAGGACAGCTGACTTCCGTCTGCTTTTTTTGCTTCCCAGAGGCGGTAATAATTACTGTTACTTTCGACATGCATATCATTAAGCATTGGGCAGAAAGCGTATAGTGAGTGTATGAGACGTTCTGGCACTTAAGCGGTCCGATTTCAAGTTTTTATATACGAGGAACTGATTGTAATTAAAATATGGCGATCGCAATTGCGGGCGGCGGAATACACGGAAATTATGTTATAAATTGCCCTGAATGACAGTTATAGAGGTTGGTCAGAAATGATTGACAGCTGTTACGACTGACGATAAGTGTATTGACGATAATTTTGAGAAGATCAGCCGGCCACCAGTGAAGGCGGAATACCAGGAAACTCATCTGAACAACTTCTCACATCTACCACAATAAACACATCATCCACTACTAGTTCTCCTAAACCACATTTTATATCCAGGACAACCACAACTACCGCCGTTCCGAAAAAACTCTCTACAGTCAGCAGGACATCCACGACTAACTACATCCACGACTCCACTAAGCTAAGCTACATCCACGACTCCGCGCCAAGCAACCGTGTTTCTAGTGACGATCATGTGACGTCCAACCTGGATGCGGAGATATTGACTAGTGTGCCAAATTTTAAAGAATTACCCGCACTCAACCAACAATTTCCAGTGAGGGCCACTGATGTTGTTAAAAAATTTAATGTGGATCCGAGTAATTGTGAGTACTACTTGCCCATGCATGTGGACAAGCACTCAGCTATTCGGATCCATTTAGATCCGAAATTTATGCTAGTAGTTTATCAACGTTATCAATGTGATTGCAGTTCAGGGAACCGTCTACTACAGTTTCCGACCACTCCCAGCCGGACAAAACTTTTATAGCATAGCTTTGGGTCGGTTAGTATTGTACGTCTTCGATCGTCAGGTCCTTTTAGGACAAGGGGATTCCCGCTTCGTGTATGAACACCAAATACGAACACCTGCACACAGTCTGATTCGTTTTAACTGTTCTAAATTGACACACTGGTTGTCGTTTTCATCCGGACTTGACCTTCCATATCTCAAATTTGGATACGGTGAAGTTGTGGAAGCTAATGTTTTATTTTATTTTTCCCTCAACACGAAAACTCTTACCAACCCGAGGACCTGGTGGACCGGCGAAACGGACGTCGTAAGCATTGCCGATAATGTCGTTTTGTTGGTAAATCCGGTTGGAGCAACCTACCACTTATGGAAGACCTTTCCTCTCCTTTTGACAAATCAGCCTACGCTACTCCATCCTCTATTAGACCGAAGTGAGGGCCTGATCGACCCTGTCACTGCTTGGCTCTACGAAGAGGTTAAGCCATTTCAACTGCCTGATGAGGCGATCTCGGCCCTCACATATTCAATGGACACTCCGGGTTGCGCACTGCACAAGATCTTGGCCAACCAAACCGACAACAGGCACGTGTATTTTTACACTTTCATACCAGCACATCTAACGGAAGGTTTCATGGTAATGGAGATTTGGCCCAAGGGGCACTATAGCGGCGTGCATGATCATGGTCGTGCAGTTTCAGTGATCAAGATCTTACACGGCACGATTAAACTGGAGTGGTACAATCCGATCGCCAGTTGTTCCGAGAAGCCTGTGCTAGTAAAATCGCAGGAGTTTTCTGAGGGTGACCTCACGTGGACGAGCTCCGATATGTACCAAACACACCGGGTGACCAATGAATACGGTGATACTGCCGTCGTTTTTGTGCAACTCTACCAAAATGCTGGATTCAGAGATCACTTGAATCGATACCAAGGAAAATCGCGTAGCCCATACACTGATGATATTTCATCTGCGTGGAATATACCATACTCTAAAATGGACGGCGACATCATGCAAGAATACAGGACTCAACAATGTTAAAAACTACCTGCAACTATTAACAATGTTCTATGGCAACGGTATTTTGCCATAGAACAAAAATGCCACCGTTTCCTAAAGCGTCGGCAAATTTGTCGAAAAAAAAATAAAACATGCGAAACATGCGCTATCGTCCTTTGTAAAATATGCATGTTTTGTGCATCTACGCTTATCGATGTATTCAGGAATCGCGAAGTCGGATGATTGACAGAATCTTTCTTTTGGGGGTAAATGAAATTAATAGAATAAATAAACTACTGTGTATTTTTGATTTGTTCTGTACACTTGTTTTTGAAGTAAAATTTGCAGAATATAAACTGCAACACCAATCTACTTCTTGTTTGCTGTATTTCTGTTACAGACTGTTTTAAAAAAGGTTCGGTTTGGACACTGGACACACATTTATCAGCATATAACCAGTAGGCCGACCAATTTTTGTAGCAATTTACTGGATTTTCATGGTCTTGAAGCAGGCGTTTTAACACTGCTTGAATAAAAAAAAAGAACATTGTTTCTGGTTAAGAATGAAAACAAGGTGCATTCAAACTGCATATAAGCGAATTAAGTGGCATTTTTAACCCATTAACAGCGCTTGTTGCGGTACTCTTGGAAAACCTTGCCATTAGGACCGAGAATTTCTGCAATCCTTAGATCGGTGGTTGGAAAGAATCTTCCCAGAGACGAATTATTCGGCTGCACATAGTAAAAGAAGTCCTCTTTCACTGTGTCCTTTTTGTGCTGCTCACTTTCATAACGATAAGCCTGAATCGTGATAGCGGTTACACGTGGATCGACATTATGCAGCTTGTGTGTCTGGTACATATCCGACCACATCCAAGTGATATTCCCGGCATAGAACATCTGCGATCGGACCAACACCGGCTGCTCGAAACTCTTATCGACAATGGGATTATACCATTCCGACTTTATGGAGCCCTGCAGGACCTTCCGCCCCTGCAGGAAAACCGTGGCGTGGTACCGGGCTGAAATTCCGGATGAATGACGTCGACTGGCTATTGCCATGGAATGCGCGACTGGCTATTGCCAGGTTTCCTCCTCCGGTGTTATTAGACCGGAAGAGCCTTCTGCTTCAATATTCTCCAGGATATCGCCTATCAAGGCCTGACTGGCGACCGTGAGGAAAATCTCCGTTTTGGATAACGTGTGCTCGCGGGTTCGCTCGTTCGGTTTAATGATGACCGGCGAGTAATCCAACAACAACGGCAACTCATGTTTTTTCATTGGATCAACTAGCGCGACATTATCGCACACGGCCACGCGGCCGATGTCATTGATAGCCTGATCGTGGTTGCCGTCTACCGTCGACGCAAACTCGAAGAGAACGTTGCTGGTCATGTGATAGCCCCATCCGAATTTAATAAACGGGGGTATGTCACCTTCGCGGCGAGAGGAAAAGGTTACCCAGTGAGTTATCTGCGAACAGTTGGGATGGATTAGGCTGTAGACCGGGCTGCGCTGTCTCTTTTCCAAATAGTCATGGGGGCCTTCCTCACCCACATAGACCTCGCGGTCTTTAACATAAAGAACGATGTCGCCCAGAACAATGCGGTAAAACGTCTGTCCTGGCAAAAGCGGCTTCAGAACAAACGTTATAGTTCCTTTACCTGAAAATAGCCAGCCATAGCATACAGTTACTTCACAAGGCGGAGATAAGGTATTACAATACAGGAATCCGGCGAACACTGCCCTTTACAAAATTACTCGTATGTTCGCTATGATCGGTAGGCTGTTGTACGCGAGCATATGAATTGAGGGCGCGCTCGTTCACCAAAAGACAAACCTTTCGCACGAATTTACCCTTATTAGGATGAAGATCAATATGCTGTACTTCCACCGGTGGCACTACGGGCCGTCTTCGCGTTGTTGGTTTCTCTGTTGTCGGTTGGTTTGTTGGGGGCGTTGAATGGTCCTGTTCACACCATGTGCACCATGGTGGATGTTTATGGTGGATGTGCACCATGGTGGAATTGTTAATCTGTTTGAAGTCTTCAGGATCTGCTGACGATACAAAATTAAAACATGCAACGATATATCATGTATACATATTCGTTAGTGTTCGGCATCAGGCTTATTCTAATTTGATTTGTTTCGTTACTGCATGTGCGCGATCTTACAGATACAGTACTGCATATAAGCCACACTCATGAGCCACAGAACTCAAGACATAATAATTTGTGAATCACTCAGTCGGCTTATTTCTAACCAGAGGTCGAAAGCTGCCATTGTTCGTAATAACATTTATACATCCCCAGTGGCGTAACGAGCCTAATAATTTGGGGGCCACGGCCCACCCCAAACGAAAAGTTACAGCATAAAGTCTATGGGAACGGCCTACCCCAAAGCCAGTACTTGTGGCCCACCCCAAACCTATGAGCTCGTTACGCCGCTGTACATCCCTGATTCAACATACCACAAGGCTGTACTTCTAGTACACTGTTAGGATCCAGCCGTTCGACGTATGCATCCGGACAGCTGACTCGGTCAGTATCAGCGTCGTTACACATAATGGCCTTGGGAATGTATCCTTCAAGTGCCTCGCACAGAACTTCGTTGGACAGTTTGCTGCCTGTAACGTAATTATATTTTCAAGTACAGTGTCAGACATATTGGCTCTTCGTAACAGGTTTGCCCTTCTCAGTGTGCCCGCTTACTTTCGGTGGTCAGAAGCGTGTAGTCCAGCCAGATTTCGTGAAACGGATTGTCTTTCTGCTGCGGTCCGCCTCCTATGAAGATCGTCAGGGACGGAGTCCGGTCATAACGGGAGCGTACTTGCGCTACAGATAGAAAGGGACTGTTGGGGATGTTAAGGATTTTGCCACCGGAAATTTGTTTGATTAGCTCGTGGTGGCCTTCCATCGTCTCGAAGATTTCTAGCCCCTGATTATCGCCAATATAAGAAACTCTGGCAAAAGCAATGTTACTATAGCTTGACATCTGTACTTCAAGTATGTAGTACTGAAGAAATAATTACATGTTAAATAAAATTAATATGCTTTTTGTCCTGTTATTGCAAAAAAATTAAAATTGCTTTGTTTGAGTTGTGTTTTACGGAATATGAAGGTATATGGCTGATTCCGTTCTGCAACCGCTGGGCATAGTCAGTGCTACACTGCAGTTTATTTTCGGAACTTGTAAAAAACGCAGTCGTCCAACACGGCGGTCCGGCTCCGAAGAGTCGGGACAAGGCAGAACGTAGGTGCCACCACAAAAGTTTTCAAGCCGAACTGAAAACAGAATAAAATTTGTAACATCATGTACATGTACAACCAATCTAAAACTATAGCCAGTTCCAGAATTCCAATTATATTTCGAGAACAACAGAAGGCTTCATAAAACTACATCTGGTTCCGACCTGTGCTGCGGTAAGGTCGGCCTAAAAAAGAATTATTTATTCATATTTTTTATTCATTTATTTTGCCGTGTGCAGCACAGTATAATACGCACTACCGCCACTACGTATACCTAAATATTTCAAGCACCAAGGGTAGAAGAAACCGTAGCATCGAGACCGACACGGTAGAGTTTTATAAAGCCGGCAAAAGTATAACATAATAATTCTAAAGGCATCTTGTGAGCGATGCTCGCCTTTAGAATTATTGCGAGTAAATTAAGTAGACATAATAATTTAATTATTTTATGTTTTCTTTACCTTCATTATCCAATGGCATCTTCACAGCATTACAGGCCAAAGCGCAGAAACATGTCGCTGATATTAAAGAAAACAACACAATTTGACTGGGCCCCATGGTTGCGCAAAGGAGGAAATTGCAGGCTTTTGACTCGCTGGATACAGCGTGCGTAATTAATTAGAACACCTTTGATTGTTTAACCAAGCCTTATAAGCGGCATCGCAACCCTTTGGACTATCGTTATTACTCTGTTTTTATGTAGTAGCCGCTAATACGACAACATGCTTTGGTTTTCCGCGCTCTGTTAGCTTTGGCTAAGCATCACAAAGCCACTTGACAAAATCAACGTCATCCCCGGGGATAAAAATCTCTGTAATGCTAAAGTACGAAAATTGACGAGAGAAGTTCGTCCGTCCATTCCCAGAGGGATCGATGCACTATGCTGGTAGTGGTCGGTGGCAGCGTGCAAACGATGCTGCCCGCGGCGTATTCAGGCTTAAGCGGGCAAGATCGTGAATGGGATGACGCTCATGCCATTTATCCTTGGCTTTGATCAGCAGCTTTTTGCCGCGATGTTGTTCACATATTCCTGAAGGACCTGCTTTGTTGAATATACTCCTTACCAGATAACCGGTAGTGCGGGCGGAAAGCGTCTGTTGTCTGCAGCCCAGAAATTTTTAGATGACGAGTATTGTGCGCTGCTGCGCCTTCCGATCCTCTATTTAAATGTAGTAGTTCAGCCGGCTGTTGTCGTATTTTAGGATGAGTCATCAAACGTTCGGGCAAGCGTCGCTTCGATCAATACACCTTATAAATTTAATGCTGCATGACCGCCAGTCGCCGAATTTGTGATTGCAGTAGTGTTTAATATTTTTCTTCCCTTGTGAATTGCAGTTCGCCACAGCAGCCATGGTCTTTTTGCAGAATGTCCGGCGCTGGATAAATGCAGTGCTTCAGTTGTTTCCATCGGTGTGCTGATTGCACGGGCGACGCCCGACGCTGCATCGATGCATCATTTAAGCAGTTATACACAGCATGAAAGCACTGTAGCAATTCTGACACATCGATCAAATCCGATACCGGATTTGCCTGATGTAACGGATCTGCTAAATGCTTTCAAGAAGATGACTGTAATTTACAAGCAATTGAAGCGGCAGAGAGAGCAGTTTGCCAATTATTACTGGTAGCGTGGTATATAATCGTACCAACCCGCGTTCATTTAATGGTTGCCCTCTTTCATTTTGTGGTAGCTGACCTGGACACCTTCGTGCACAACAAGAATCAAAGAAAGCTTAGGGAGTACAGGAAAAATGAAATTCAACATCAGGACGATTTTATAATTTGTGGTTTATAAGTTGGTTGACGGGGCGTACCTCGTCGAACAACTTATAACCAGAACCAGCAGTCCAGCAATCCCACAAAAAAACACGGCGCAATTAAGGCCTGCACGACAGTGCACGTGCCGTCGCCACAACGCCGATGACCTCTAACGGTAAGCCTAGTCAGTTATCCTTTTTCTTATGTTTTCTTTGTGTACAGTTTTCTTGCCTCTTATTGTAAGAAGTAATGAGCCTTAACCGTGTGCACGACCACCCCACTATTTCCCTGTACAGCGCTTGCGCAGGTAAAATTTCAGAAGAGAGTTATACATAGGCACATACAGGAGCGCACGTCTTTTACGCTTGTATTACGTTTTCTTGAGCTATTTCAGCCGTTAGTTGCATACCAGACTGTAGAGAATTTAATTCTCTACAATTCAGTATATAACTGGCCCAGGAAATATAAGCTGAGCAATGCAAAAAGAGTTCTACCGAAAATATCTAAATTCCAACCGCTGAACCACCTTGCCAACACCCTCGTTTGGCAGTTCAGTGCAGCAATGCAGTACAAGACTATTTTGTTTAATGCTTTCTGAAACTGTTTCAGAAAGTTTTGCTTGACAGATTCTGCATCTAAATGTAGAGAAAAAAATTCTCTACGTTTTACTTTCCACCTGACAGTTCAATCTTTCCTGCAAAACTGTCACGTCTTGGCACAGATGTTTATTGTGCCACTCTGGCCGGATAGATACTGAATCATGAAATACTCGTAGTACCACATAAAATGCGTCCTCTACAGGTCAACACAGCCATGCGGGTTGCTACGCGCTAATATGGCGCGTAGCCACTACACTACAAAAACTTTAAAATAAAAGAAACGCCGATTTCTCCCATAGAGGCGATGATAGAGTCCCATGCTTTCCCTCGTCCGAAATATTCTGTGCACAGTGCACTACAAAGCCCGCATGCACGCGGGTATTGCTCATTACGGTATACTGAGTATACCGAGAAACGTACGAACTAAAGTTCATTATACCGATACGGCGATACCGGTGTCTTCACTTATAAATTGTACGCGTATAATTTCCGGGGCAGGGGATAAAAGGTGGCAGTGGCACCTGCCACTGGCAACTGCCACCGGCAATGGCAGTTGCCACCACGTGTTCTGGCAAGCGATAAAAGGTGGCAGTTGCCAGAAACCGGGAATCCACGTAAAGTTATTTTGGCACGCCATTTAAAACAAGAACTCAACCGGATTAGCTACAAAAAAGGTGGAAACTGTTTGGCTGTCATAAAGCATCTATAGTGGCGTATTTGTTCTCAGCAATCTACTTGAATCCTTCAGGTTTTACAATTTTCTTAGTTTTCTTAGGGTTGTTTCTTAGGTTGTGTTAGGTTTTCTTTAGTTGAAAGTTCTGGAAAAGGTGATGAGATTGGCAGTGGTTATGGTAATGCTCCGATACATGGGAAACATGACAGTACCGGTTTGTCGTTTTTCCAGTTTTTAGTTACTTATGGTTTCTTTGCTTTTTTGGCTTCGTGAGTGCCTTACCTTTAAAAGTCAAAAAAATCAAAGCTATGCTAACGTTAAGTAGAACTGCAACATAAACTTATACTGCGCTGTGCATTGTCAGCAAAATTTTTTTATTTACTAGCCTTATTTATCGCAACAATTCTAAAGTACAGCTTACACTTCTAGAAAGCTTGGGGCTTAAAAGACTCCCGAAAACCTTAGCAAGCATAAGGACCCTAAGAAATCTGTCAAATGAAGCAAATCTAACGAAGTTCAAGTAACCAAAGAGACGAAAAAAACCTCCAAACCTAAAATAGACGAAACGGACAAAAGCGTCAAAACAAAACAAAAATCAAACTGTATAACAGCGATACGGCAGCCGCTACCAACCTTGTTACGACCACGACCGGCTACCACTCATTTCGCCAACCGGACATTTCGCCAACCGGACATTTCGCCAACCGGACATTTCGCCAACCGAACATTTCGCCAACGAGACATTTCGGCAACAGCCTATAGAATTCTTAACCTACAGTACTGTACGTTTAGCGCCTTAGTCTACAGGAAAATTGGCATATGGCACTCTTGACTGGCCAAAGCAGCACATTTTACATGAATCTTTATTTTAAATATACAATAAATACATACGTACTGCAGCACATTCACACGTTGTAATATTACAACAACAACAAAAACAATTTACAAATATTTTCCCATTTACACCATAACTGACAGTGTGCCATGCAAGGTAAAATAATTAGCAGGAACGTATCGAAAGGCGATTACTTCTAACACCAAATTCGGCGGAAATGCAAATTCAAAATATATGTCGGCATGTTACGCACAGTATCGAAAAACCAATTCCAGGACAAAAACGGAAATCAAAATGTTGCTACGTAATTTTGTACAAATACAGATTATTAATATTAACATTGGTAAGTAAGCCATAATGAGTATGAAGCTAAAGTCCGAATTATAAGACAAGCTGCTGTGCTGCAGTTTGACCATGAAAACTCTACAACATGATTTCGAGATTAATGGCAACCGATCTCAAATAGCTGATCGTATCGATTTGCCCGTAGTTAGATGCAACGTTTTTTTGCCGCTTGGTGACCTCCAGGTATTGCTTCCTTTGTTTAGGAATTTCACCTGCCATGCGTGAAGCTGCCTCTGTTTGCTGGTGAACAATTTCCCGACACAGTAGGTTGAAAAATTGATAAATGCCGGGATGGTCTTTATTAACCACATCAGAAAACGTGCGGTGCCAAGCTTCTAGGCGATTGGTCGTACGGTGAATATCCCTCTCAAGTCTATCCACACAGCTCCAAAATTCAACAGGATACAGAGGCCTTTAAATGCGACAACCGGTTACTCGAAACATAGTTGTTGTTTCGCCGACGTATGTTGTTTTCAAGTGCTCAATGAACACATCGTTGTGTTTGAACGGAAAAAATGGCGCGTCCAGGAGTTCAATAAGCGCTCGTTCTACATCCTGTACCGGCACGAACGCGAGGGCAAAAAGCATGCGACAGGAAATGTTGAACTCTGCATTGGTCGCATAAATGGGCCCGTGTCCCAGAGCAACGAGTTTCCGGTACAGGCTTTGTCCGAAGTGGAAGTTGCAACCTGTAGATTAATTATTTGCAAAATTTTTATATTTCATGTATTTCACGAATTTAAGAAAAAATTATTATTAATCTTTAAATTATTTTTATTATTTGACAAAAAAATTATATTTAAAGTACAGCATAGAATTTCTAGCAGATAATAATTAAACAATAATGAACATCAATTAATAATAGTTAATAATGAAGATTAAGTGACAAGAATTATTATTAATCAATGAATGCTAATAGTATTTCTGCTTTCACTAACAGCAGTAGTAACGGCCTATAACCTATGAAAATCGTGACATAAGTGCGTGAAGAAATTAGTATTAATAAATGCCACTCGATAACAACTAAATAAGAACGATCTAAAATAATTATAAATACTGATTAAAAATTTGTAATCATAAAAACAAAAATAACAATTAGCACAAACAATAACAGCTGTTGCAAACAACAAAATTCAGGAAAATTAAGTACGTACAGAGAACCTGAATATTTCATGTTTTAATATTTACTTAAACTGCATAAAACATTACAATTTATTCCATTAATAAAAATATTGTGTTAATTTTACCTCTTAATTTTGACGTAGTAAAAACATTTCGGAACGCAATGACAGCCGACTGTTCGAAATCCATCAACATGTATTCGGGTCCGACTTCTTCAGATCCACCTTTCTGCATCAGTGCGTCACGGATAATTGTAAAAAAGCGTCGATAAGTGAGCTCACATTTATTTGGCAACAACGCATAAATAAGCGGAGCCGTTGCACCACAAACATCAGCATGCACCGTGTACAACTGCGTGAAAACAGGCG